GGGATCCGAACCCTCGGCGGGAGCGTAGCCGCGCTTCACAAGCGGCGCACTATAGCAGTGCGCCACCGGGCCGGCCCTGAATAATCTTTCAAAAACCCCAAAATTATGATTCCCAAAGCATACTTGACCCCCGAGGTTTCAGATAATACCACATATAAGTCTATATCCTTTATCTGGTATTATCAAATGTTTTGATCTTTTAATCTCAGAGGTGAAAAATACTAATCCCCTGCAGTTTTGATTTGTACTTCTCTTTTTTGTCCTGATCAGATGTACATACTAAAGTAGCCAATCCTAGCCATCGATTCTATATTTGCCAATTCAACTACTTGCTATAATTTATTTGTAACTCCCAAACAGCTGCAGGGCTTTCCTGTAGACAGGCTCAGAGCATTCACCCTATGTACACATTTCCAGCTAAGATCAAATAAGACACCTTGTGCCTATTTCTTTTAGCTTTCATACTGTAAGCAAGTGGCCTTTTTGCATACTATGTAGTGCCATGCTTTTCACAGTTTTGTGTTTTTTGATGTTGATTTTGCTGTTTAAAATGGCATGCAAGTGTAGTGCTGAAGTGCTGTCCAGTGTTCCTAAGTACAAGAAGACTGTGATATGCCTCATGAAGAAAATATATGTGTTAGGTGAGCTTCCTTCAGGCACGAGTACAGTGCTGCTGGCTATGAGTTCAATGTTAATCAATCAACAATATATATTAAATAAAGTGTCTTTAAACAGAAACAAGGTTATGTATTGATCAACTGATAAAAATGTTGTGACTAGGGGATTGTGGGAACATGATCCCGTATTTTCCTTAGAAGCAACAATTCAGTACTAATTTATTTGCTAATTCAGTGCTCATGAAGAGGAACATAACCTCAAATAACGAGAATTGACTGTATTTACAAATAAAGTGATATATTTGGGTTTAAAAAATAATTTTTGGGGGGTGGGTAGTGCTTAGATGAAATAAGGCTGGCCATTTCTTGATATCTCTTGAAGCTTGGTAAGAGTACACTGGGGACTTTTCACATTGTTCTTTGCTTTTGTATAGATTTGGAAATGGCCATAAAATTTAAAATGCCATTTGTATTTCCTTTTCTATGAATTGTCTTTGCATGTTCTTCGTTCATTATTTTCATTGACTGTCTTTATTTTTCTTATTCATTTATATTCAATTTTCAATCTTTGTATATTGAAGAAATAAGACTCTACTAATATTTTTAAAATTCAGTTTTTCATTTGATTTTAGTACATTTTAAGCATGCCAAAAATTAAAAATTTTACATTGTCAAATTCATCAATCTTTATAGCTTAGACATGTCTCTCAGCTTAGGAAAATCCTTCCCCTTTCTGAGATTTTAAGTAATTCTCACATATTTTCTTCAAGTACTTTCATGATTCCATTTTTTACATTTATATTTTGATATATTTAGAATATATGTTGACATCAAGAGAGTAGGTAAAGTATTTATAGATGAATGGTATCATTTACAGATCTGCTTCAAAACAATCTGAATGTGTGGGGGTATAGGTGAAACAAGACTGGCCATGAGTTGACAATTGCTGAAGCTAAGTGATGTGTATATTCATTTTACTTTTTGCTCTAATTTTGTACACTTGAAATTTTCTATATTACAAAGTTAAGTAGTGTTCCTTTTTTCTCCTGGATGAGGGAAAACTAATCCTCCTTACAATGATATATTCTAGATAGATGACCCAACCCATTCACTGGGTAATCTGTTTTATTATTAGTGTTCCTTTTTTCTCCTGGATGAGGGAAAACTAATCCTCCTTACAATGATATATTCTAGACAGATGACCCAACCCATTCACTGGGTAATCTGTTTTATTATTTCCAATAATTTAAAAATCCACCTCTAACATAAACAAAATTCCAGTATTTATTTCAGTTTGTTTCTGGATTGCATAATTCCACTTCTGTACCTGTACACCACATGCTAGTATCAAACTTTTCTTTCATATTGCTTTGATATTTCTCAATATGTGAAAGTTTTAATTGCCTATCAGGGTCAGGCTTTTAACAAAAAAGAATCTCAAAGTTTATAGTGGCTCCTATTTATTCCAAATGACAAGTGAGTAATAAAAATAAACTTACATTTATATAGTTTGCATTGATGTAGTCTTCATTACCTTTTAAAATGACCCGTGTAGCATCATCTGAAAAAATTGAAAAGAAACAATGTTTTAATAAAGTTATGTTAAAAAGATTAAACTTAACAGATATGGTAGATACTTACAAGGCGAAATATCTCTGTATCTATTTTTGGAAATGTTCTGAGGTAATTTGGCACAAGACATTGTCATTCCAGGTTTTTTCCGATATAGTTGCTAGAAAAAAAAAAAGTACGAGTCCAACAAGCCATCAATAATTTCTGTTTTGTTTTTCCGATTTGTTTCTATACTAACAGGAAACAGGTTTTTTTCTTTGAATACCTCAGCTGTACAGTGATGTACCTTAGGCTAGTAGAGTACTGAACCAGATATGCAAAGCTGCATTCTTTAGTTTCTGACACAAATTATACACATTTTGGAAAAAGGTAAAAACAAGTGAAAACAATTTTGCTTACAGCAGAAGTACCTGAAGTTCTGAATAGCAAATCTGCAGAAAACATTTAGCTTTCATTTAGTTTGGAGGTGTTTACAGAATATGAACTAAGAATTAAAAAAAGAGAAAAAAAAAACCCTGTCACATGCCCTAAATGTTTTATAGTTACAACACTTAGCTAAGACTGCACTGACTGGGCTGTCTGTTACCTCAGTTGGTTAGAGCACAGTGCTGATAACACCAAGGTCAAGAGTTCAGATCCCCATCCTTGCCAGCTGCTCCCATCCCCTGCAAAAAATATGACTGTGCTGACAAAAATTAGAAAGTTTAAATATCACAAGATATAAACTTCAAATATAAGTTATTTTCTTCAACTTAAGATTTTTAAGTCTGCAGTAGCCTATCCTCATCTGTTCCCTTTCATAAAAACAGCTATTTAATTATAAGAAAAAATTTAGTTTGATGACATATGTACAAGATTTCCTTATCCCTCTTTTTCAAACAGTCACCTATTTATATATATAACCATAGCTAGTATTTGGGGAGCAATTTTATTTTGTTTTTTTAAAGGTTATATATCAATTTTATTTAGGTGGCTGGCTGGTACAGAGAACCAAACCCTTGACCATGGTGTTACAAGGCTGTGCTCTAACCAACTGAGCTAGGCCAGCCCTGCGAGGCAATTTTAAAAACTTGCATCTTAGGACTCTTGTTATGTCAAACATTTTTCAGAATGCCATTTTAGTTTATAAATTACAATGAATAGTAAATAAGGCAGTTAAGAAACCATGAAACTAATTAGAAAATACAGGCACACACTTCTTCTATACAATGATATTACTTACATCAAATTGTGTCAGGACTGTTCCAGTGATAAGCCCCTCAGCTAGCTGGATCATTGATTCCCGCAGGGAATGGTCATCCTGATGAACATTATCTAGTGGGGCTTTCTCAGGAATGTACTGGAAGTCTGGTTCATTTTCCAGCTTTTCTTCCACTACATCATACACAGCTAAAATAAAACAGAACACAGCCATGAAAATCATTAAAATTCATTAAAATTCATGATAGAAACTTACCAGATAGGCTCTTTAATTTGTGTCAGAAAAGTAATTAATTTATGAAGAATTATACCCTATCTGAGTCTGATGCCATTGTGTGGGGACACAGAGTGGCTATGGAGTGAAAGGGTTTTGCTGTACCTCTGGGGGAAAGAAGGGTTCTTGGTCCATGGCTGAATGTCTATAACTTGAAGACACATTGAGAAAAAGAGGAGCTGCTAAGAAGCAGCTCTGAATAGCCCTGCCCTTAATCTGTGGGACCTAGGACAAGAGTACAAATAGAGGCCTATATATCATATGTCTAAATATGAAAAGTTACAAACAAATTAAACACAATGCTAAACAAAATATACTCTATCCTCTTTCCTTGACATATCTACAAAATAAACTGGAAGACCAGATTTCAAATGAGAATTCTAGGCCAGAATTCATGGTCATGGTTGCATGAGGACAGTCAGACCCTAGACCTTAGTCCTGTAGTCCATCCTACTTCTTTTCCCACTCTCAGTTATATTTTTCAATATGGGGGCCTATAAACATACACGTGAACATCCAAGCCCGCATGTAAGCTCTGGCTACATAACTTCCTCTGCAAACTGCTGCCCTTCAGCCACCCTGCTGCCCTAGGAGAATGGACCTGTGAATAATGTCCACAAAAGCCTAGGAAGTGGGTTCAGGGCTATTTGGACAGAAACTGAAGGTTAAGAAAAGTGGTCTAAAAAGGGAAGGGAGGTTATAGGTAATGGCTTGGCATGGCCCCTCAGTCCTGCAAAATCCTGACTCCACTGGGAAGGGACACCTGTGAATAATGTCCACAAAAGCCTAGGAAGTGGGTTCAGGGCTATTTGGACAGAAACTGAGGGTTAAGAAAAGTGGTCTAGAAAGGGAAGGGAGGTTATAGGTAATGGCTTGGCATGGCCCCTCAGTCCTGCAAAATCCTGACTCCACTGGGAAGGGACATGGTTGAATGAGAACCAGAGCAAGGCCTTCTAAAATATGAAGCCAAGGTAGGCATCTTTTTCTCTTGCTCATTCTCAGATATGCATGCATTTTTAAAGGGAATTTTTTTTTTAAATGAGGAAGACAAACTTCATAGGAAACTGAAAAAAAAGAACAGAGTGAGGTATGTTTGTACAAAGGATATAAAGAACATATAACTGTATCTTCAAGAGTTTTCATGGAATATTATGACCCATCAAATTAAGGCATCAATATTATCTAACAACAAAAATTAATTGATCTGACGAAGAGCAGTATGAAAATACAGTAATACAGCACTGTCCAACAGAACTTTTTGTGATGATGAAAATGTTCCAATATGGAATCTACTAACTAAATATTCCAATATGAAATATTTGAAATATGGCTAATGCAATTAAGGAAACAAATTTTTCATATAAATTAATTAAAATTTAAGAGTTGGCTGGTTAGCTCAGTTGGTTACAGCACAACCTTATAACATCAGTCACAGGTTCAGATCCTGGTAAAGGACAGATGCAAAAAAAAAAAAAATTTGAATAGCCACATGTGACTAGTGGCTACAAACCAAACAGAGCAATTCTAATGCCTCATGGTTCAAAAACAGTGGGGGACTTCTCTAATCACTGCTAAGGGACTGCAGGTGGGTGTGTAAAGAGAGGAAAGCTCTCAACAGATTTATATGGCCATTTAAACAAGATCCAAATTCCCCACTGCTTTGAGATGCAGGGGACGCCACAACCTTCTGTGAGGGGTAGGAGGGAAGGACTCTTGGGGAGATCTCCGTATGCCCTTCCAATTCCTGAGTAATATCAGTGGGAGTAAAAAGCCTAGGATTTTGTCACTCAGATAGGAAGAGGCCTATAGTCCCACATCAAGAATCTGAGGTTGAGGCTACATCAGGGGCCATCTGTGCATAGACATCACTGCCACGGTGCTGGTGGGAGCTGGAGGTGGGTTGGCCTATAGTCCCACATCAAGAATCTGAGGTTGAGGCTACATCAGGGGCCATCTGTGCATAGGCATCACTGCCACGGTGCTGGTGGGAGCTGGAGGTGGGTGTACTCATTTCTGGACAGGGTTTCCAGAGCCAGAGAAAGATTTAGAAGTGGAAGGACCTGAGGGCTCTTTTTGGCCACTTGTGGGCTGCACAGGCCCTTTGTTTTTTGGGATTAAGGTCTTGTTCTTGCTCTTAAACACTTTGCTGAGATCCAGCTTGTTCACAAAGGAGTCTGTCTGTTCCATGAGCAGGTTTGTGTTGTAGGTGATGGTTTATACATGCAGAACCATCGCCTGGCCTGTGGGGTAATGCTATAGTGGGTAAAGGCATACTGCCCCTTGGGCAGGCCCAGATGGGTGACAAGCAGATGGCAATGGGTGGTAAAGGCATCTGTGAGAAAATGCCAGTATAACACTCTGTCCAGGAATCAGATCTCAGTGTCTTGTGCTAATGCTGCTTTCCCACCTTTGTAGACAAGGCAAACAAAGCTTCCCATTCCCACTGGAGGAATCCAGCTCAAATATTACACTGCAAGTCAAAGTGAGGCTTCTCTAGTGGGTTCTCACTGGCTTTATGTATATCATCCTTCAGGGCTGCCAGAGTTGGTACATTAGGAAGTGAATACATGGCAGACTGGTTGAGTTGAGTCAGTTTTGAGATGCTCTTAATTACCATACTGCCCACTGGAATGATGTGCTCATCTAGCTTCGTACTCTGTCATGTGGAAGCTGTTGATCATCAGGTAAAAGTTCTTCACATCTGTAGCCTTATAACATCAGGGACAAGGGCTTGGATCCCTGTACTGGCCAGCCGCCAAAAAAATGTTTTCACATCCTCAGGCATCACAGAGTCATTTTTCTGTTCCCACGAAGAAATCATATGACCTTCAACAGTTATCTTTTCTACGATGGTATCACCTCTGTCACTCTAGGGGAAGATACCAGGCTGCATGCAGGTTATGCCCAGGGTCAGCTTCTCCAGGTGTGGTGGGGGTGACGTCTTATCCATGGCTCCCATCACCCATTTTGAGAGTAGCTGCGAGAGCAATGTGGGCCAGAGGAGGGCTGGACCCCATCTGGATCACAGCTGGACCCTGCCTGAGTGCTTCGGCCAAGTTCATGGAATGCCTGGAGCTGTAGTTCTTGGTGCCTGAGGGCATGGCAGGATCCGTTTGGGAGGTCTGGGCTAGTCCGACAGTAGCAGCTCCATGAGGCACTTGTTCCTGCAGCCCCAGCTGGCGTGCCACACCACACCTCCCAGACACAGCCTTCCCTCTGCCCTGAACCCTTTGCCCGGCTGGGGCCAGCTGAGTAAGCCGAGAAAAATACATTTCTGACATGAAGAATGAAAAGACAAAAAAGGTATGACTACATTTTGCCTAAGAAGGATTAAGAATTAAAGGGGAAAAGATCAGAAACAGAAAAGTATATTCTTGGAAAAGCAATTTATAATTTTAATTATATGTTATTTAAATAAAAATGAGCATGATAGACCCACACTGAAATTGAATAAAGGTAATGGTCCAGATTTTGACAATAAAACAATGTGAAAAGTATATTCTTGGAAAAGCAATTTATAATTTTAATTATATGTTATTTAAATAAAAATGAACATGATAGACCCACACTGAAATTGAATAAAGGTCATGGTCCAGATTTTGACAATAAAACAATGTGAGAAAGATCTTTTGCAAGATGTAGGCCCTAGGAGGCTTCTTTTCCTAATTTAAAGTATAAATGAGGCAATTTGGAATTGCAAAAAGGCTACGTCTTTGCTGTCATATGGACTTCTGTTCATATTCTGGCTCTGTACCAGTCATGAATCTGTGAGCAGGTAACCAATGTCTTGGTGCCAAAGTGTCTTCAACTATAAAATGGTGATAATTCATCTATCTTATTGGATGGCTGTGAGGATTAAATAAGAATATACAAAAAAGCCTAGGTGCATAGGAAGCTTTGACTAACTATTAGATATTATTAAAGTTTTTATATCTATTATCAAGAGAAAATAGATAAATAAAACAGAATATTATTCTTGGTATAAAATTTAAGTAGCTTTATGTGACAGAAAATGCTTAGTAATGAATCGCTTAAGTATCAGGTCTAAATGAACAAGTTCCTTGAAAAGTCAAATAGAATGTTCTGCTGAAGTTCTTTTAATCTTCCTAGAAAGCCATTTTTAGACCATGAAAGGAGAAGTACACAAAGTACAGAAGATAAAATAAAAATGCCTGTTTGCATCTAAAGGTTAAAAAAGGGTTACTAATTTCTTTACTAATAAAAAGATTATTTATTAAAAAAAAAAAAAAGAAAACTTCCTGCAAAATTTTGCAGGATTGGGTGATAAGTAGAATTCTAATTACATTCTACTTTCCTATGGTGCATATTCAACAAGTGGTATCATGGCATTAACCAATAATTACTCTGTGGCTAAAACTATGATTAATAAAACTGTTCAGAACAAAGTCTAAAGAATATCTCTAATGCTGGGATAGAGGCAAATAGGAATTTTCCCTTAGAGGAGATTGATAGAGTGCTGAGAGTACTTGAAATAATGTCATATCAACACTGGCTGAAGGCTCTGGGACTGTTAAATTGGATAAAGAGAGAGTAGGGTTTCTGGTAAATATTAGCTATTGTCAAAAAACTGAAGGAAGAGGGATTGAACTTATTCTGCATAGCACAAAGTGATAGAATTAGGAACAAAAAGACTGAAGAAAGATGGATTTTTAGTTCAAATAACAGTTCAAGCCATCCAAAAGAGGAATGTTCTGCTTCAGGAGCCATCAAGTATTCCACATAGGTAGGATGTTCTTGAGGTTGTGGTAGAGGAAACTCAAGCACAATTAGCTAAAGAGCTAAAGCTTACAGTGTTTAAGGTTTCTCCAAACTTGGGACTCTGTGACTATGAATTAATAAGTAAGCTGTCCAGAGCAGGAGATGACATGAGTAGGAAAGTGGACATCATCAATTGAAAACAGGATTTAACAGGATAGACAAATTTTTTTTAAAAAACTGCTTTATCTGTACCTTGTTATGGAGTTTTCTAAAAGTAGAGCAGAGTTCCAAATTTACTCATTCTTTCGACAAGCATTTATTGAGTACTTGCTACTACTACTAGAGCAATTGGGGGAAGAGTAAGGCGATTTTAGCTAGAGTAGTCAGAAGAGAAAGTCTTTCTGAGGATGACTTTTAAGCAGAGATCTGAATGAAGTGAGAATACAAGTCATATCAAAATTTGGAAGAGTGTATTAGGCAGAGGGAACAGCAAAGACACAAACCCTAAAGAAGATTAGACTGTAACATTTGAGGAACAGCAAGAAAGCCAATATAGAATAGAGGAAAGTGAGCAAGGCTGAGTAGGAGGAAAGCAGGCCAAGCATTTGGATTTTATTCTAACTAGGAATGGAAGCCATTGTACTTTGAGCAGGAAACTGACATGACTTATGTTTTAAAAAGCACACTCTGGCTGCTGTGTGCAGTACTAAATTATGACAAATATCTGGTGCTACATAGAGTACTTACCATTAGGTCGAACTAGAAGCACAAGTTCCCCAGAATGTCTCTCACAGCTAGCTTTAATAAACAGGACAACCTGATCATGGGTATGTTCTGCAATGTCCCGACCATTGATCAGTACAACTTGGTCCCCTTCATTCAATCGAGGGACACAGAGATCAGCCTGTAATGTAATGCAGACAAGGTCTCAGATTTGCATGTGGCTTTCTCAAATTAAAGCACAGGAATTTATTTTTATAGACTCTATAGCAGTAAAACTACATATAGAAAAGCATTTATCCATTCATTCATCTATTTGAAAAAAAGCAGAAATCTAGCTTTCCCATGGATATACTATTTTTTTTCCTTCAGTCAACAACTTTTTTTCCTGATGACCTATTATGTTCTTAGACATACAGATAAGGACTGACAATTTCAAGGTGCATACATACAGGCAGCCCTCGCTTTGCAAAGTCTGCATACATACAAACCTCAGTTACCATGGTTTAGTTAAATAACATCAGTCCCCCAACAACATGGTTCAAATTTTAGTCACCATGATGTATGAACTGTGAATAACTGCAAAAAGCACAAACTTTGTGGCTAGCTCTTCAGTCTTAAAATCACTACATAAATAACAGACACACATCATGATCACTGACCAATCACATCACTTCTTTTGAAGTCTGTTGGTGATTTGACAATGCACATCTGTTACTCAGTTCATGCAAAGACAGCAAAGCATGTAGTTGTGCTGCCTCCTTGTCTCCCAGTAATAAAGCTATATAAAAATGGATAATCTAAAGAGGTAACTGACTAAAAAAGGTGAAAGTGTAGCAAAGAAACAATGAGTGATTAATGTTATGAGTGAAATTCAAATTGCACATAAATAGTTAGAGAAAAAACAGGCAACCACAAAAATTTTGACTACTGCAGTTTGTGAACTCTAGATATGCACCCAAAGGAACTCTTGATAGTTCACGACATTGAAAGTTCTAAGGACAAAATGGATCCAAACTCAGCAAGGATTATGACAATTTACCAAGGTAAGAAAAGATGCTCACACTATATCATAAGTTACATGACAACTGCTTGTACAAAAAAATAAAACATATTAATTCTCAATGCTTCTACTGTTTTAAATTACAGGATGCTAAATCAAATTAGCTTTACTATTTTTTCATTTCTATATACCTTTATAAGAGACAGTAAGAAAGATTTTAATGTTTTGACAAAAAGATATAAAGGTCAAAGGAACAACTGTAATTTTTCCCATTTATCATCAAGATTACTGTACAATTTCATCTTGCATGGTCATTTTTACAGTCTGTGTAAAGTGAGAAAGAACTGCCTGTACTTTACCCAGAAAACAAACCAGGAATTAAGGTAAAAGACACAAGAGAAATATAAATATGAACAGTGTGTTCTGGGAACACAGCAATGAAAACACATGAGTGTCAAGTTTGAAGAATGATAGGCCAAGTAGAGAAGGAAATGATGGAGCTGAATCTTACAAAAAAGTGAACTTCCTATGGCAAAGGCATGAAGAAATGAAAGCACAACTACTCAAATTCATCTTAAACACAAAGTCAATAAAATCCAACAAGGTGTTGTCATTAGTGGAAAGAGTACTAGCCTACAAGCCAAATGCTTCCTCTACTGCTTCGAAAATGTGTGATCTTAGACACCTGAAACTAAAAATGGAGCAGATATTTACTATTACTATTTCATAGAGTTGTTGTGAATATAAAAATAATTTAATCCAAAGCTTTAAAATGTGGAATATTCAAATTTAATTTTGTTCATTCTCTCTAGTTGCTTTCTTCTCTATTTCTGGAGCCATCATATACTCCCTTTTTGCCTTAGCAGTGTGATGCTTTTGCGCACCAATATGGTTCAAAGTTTTTGTAAATGTCTTTGAGATTCCTGAAGTGTGGTGAACTGGGAGCTAATGGTACTGGGAGATATGTAATGGGCCATGGCAGAAAAAGCTATCCTCTCACATTACTTTGTAGATAGTGTAGTTGGCCAGAAAAGAGGAGGTGGTCTATGTGTTAAAAAGGACAGTTATGAGTCTTTCTTATTGTATCCATCATCACTAAGGGAACTCTCTCATACTTAACCTGCCTTTGTCAGATGTGTTATAGAATTTTTTATTTGGGGCCGGCCCGGTGGCGCACTGCTACAGTGTGCTGCTTGGGAGTGTGGTGTGGGAGCAACACCGAGGGTTGCAATCCCGTTGCCGGTCCTGGCCCGGTACGGGCGCG